CGGGGCTGGTGGACATTTCAGTTTCCACAGGGCCGTGGGGCGGAGCTGCGGGGGCTCTCGGGGAGGTGTCACCAGCCGGCCGAGGGGCGTGCCTGGCAGCTGGACGTGTCCGGGAAAAACAGAGGTCGTGACACCGAGACTATTGCAGGAAGTGGCACTTTATTACGCTGGCTAGCACTAGCACAGCGGGCCGAGAATTTCATGCATTCAAAGCAAGCTCGAGCCCCCCGGAACAGGTGACCTGGGGCCTTTTACCCTCGTTTAGGTAAGGGAGGGGGTCGTGTTGAGTGATGACTATTTCCTTTGGAATCTCACAAGGTTGTACTCAGCAAAATCAGATTTTTCAAAGAGCAAATGGTTTCCAGGAACTGCGGGATTGTAAACCGTCAGCTTCAGAAGGGGGGCTTTAGATAAGACTCTTTTTCATTGCCATGAAGTAGCCAGTCTCTGGGCCATTTGGCCTTTCTTAAACAAAACCTGCCTGACAGCGGGCGGCCCTTTAAAGTTGCAACTTGCCTTCCAAAGGGAAATACCTTTAACTGCCATCAACCTTTCCTCCTTGCCGCTGGGCTAGTGGCGGCCCAGGTGAGGCCGACTGCTGATCCCGAACCAGCCACATGTGTTTCTGTGTCTATTCACTCAATCACACAAGAAATATATTTGAGCATATGCCGCCTCCTGCCACAGAAGGGAGGGCCTGGGGGAGGCCGGGATTCCCCCTCCACTGTGAGGCGCCCACCCCCGAGTGCGACAGAGTTGAGTGGTGTCGCCAGAGCCCACCGGAAAGGGCACCTAAGTCCTTCTCCCAAGGAAAGAGACTTGCTTTTATCATCTCTGAAGTTTGAGCAGTATAGACAGGAACTGGTGCAAAACGGCTCCATGTTTATGTGTTCGGTAACATCACCTGTATGGACATTCCGTCGCATCCCAGTTGTAAAGTTCAGGTAGCACGCATCCTGCGGGTCGTGTTCCCTTTCTCAGATGACTCGGAAGGTGTAGGAATCGATGGACACAGGCGACCGAAGATGTTCAGCGTCATGCATGGAATGCTTGGTGAGAGGACAGAGAGACCAAAGGACCCGAACAAGATGGAAAACAAGAAGCAAAGGCATTTTGTAGACTCTGTTCTTAATTCACGTAGGTAGCTTCCGGTTCTTCGAAAGGCATGCAGGCCTGGGTTGGAGGAGCTCCATGTCGCTCTTCTTGGAGACCTTGGGCAGCCACTGAATTGTGGGCTCCCCGTTCTCGCCACCGGTTTCTTCTGGATTGTGTGGTCACAGTAACACATGTATGTGTGATTTCCCGGGCTTGTGCAGTTCAAGAAGTTCCATGGGAGGAGACAAGGAGGGGACGAGCAGAGGAGGAGAAAGTGGCGAAGTGAGGAAACGGATGCTGCAAGGCGTCTCATCATCGGAATGGGGTGGTGGTTGCAGAGCTTCCGTCTCCCCCTGTCCTGTGTTTTCAAGACCGCCCGTCCTCCCATCCACTTCCCAGGGGGTTGGATGGCTGATCTTGGAAAGGCTAGTGTTAAGGCTCGAAGAGCCAAGTCAATTCCTCCATTTGGTAAATGATGTTCTCCCTAGTTTGAAAGACAACCCCACCCGCACCCCAAAGGAATGCCTTTTCCAGAGGAAGAAGTCGTTCTTCCCTGAAAACAAAACAAACCAGCATATGTCTGATTAGAGAAGTTAGCTTTCAACTTGCACCCAAGGCAGAGGAAGAGAGAAGCGAGGACAGTGGTGGTGAGTGGAGCAGAGGCTCCATTTGGTTGTGAAAGCCACAGGGGATCAGCTGCTCAGAGGAGAGCTGTGACTTTTCTCTCTTTATAAGGAGGAGAAAATCCCTTAAAATGCCTTTATTTGGAGAATATTTTGGTGACTGGTTATAATTTTTTTAGGGATATGAACATTCAGAGTAATTATAGAGCAAAATCATGTTCTGTGTTTGAGTCATTTAATCTTTGCCTACTGATTGTTTTGATAAACATAGTGCGCGCCTCTTGTGTGACAAGTATTATTTTAGGTGCTGAAGAATTAGAAATGAATAAAGTGTCAACATCACAATAAAAAGTTAAAAAGTAAACAGAGCCATATAATACAACATGCTATGGGAGGAAGAAAGAAACAACACAGCATTTTCATAGACTAGCATATGATAATATATAATATAACATAACATAATAATAGAGCGGATAAACCCGATTTACCTAGCACTGATTATTTATAGACACTTCATGAATTTATTTTTAGAATTATTATTTTTTTTTTACTAGAGGGATGGTTGGATTTTGCAGATATAAGGGGGCCTGGACAGGGGTCAGTTGGGCCCTGGAATCCAGCCCAAGTCTCTTGCCTTTGAATGAGGGCTATGCCTGAAATACTGTCAGCTGTTTGGGAAAAATTCTGCTTCTCTGACCAAGTCACAAAAAGTGGTTGCTTCCAGTTCACATAAAGGTACATGCAGGTTAATGGCAACTTTGATTCTAAGAAAAATGAAAATGGCAAGGTTCTAGGCCTCAGTGTTTTGAGTATGTGGGGTGTGTGTCTGTGTGTGTGTATGTGTGTGTGTGTGTGTGTGTGTAGATGTGGCAGAAGAGCAACTTTATACAGAAAGAAAACAGAATAAAACTATATTATTACATTAGGGAGATTTTTCATGTTTCATTTTATCTTATTTTTCAGAAGAGGACTGTCAGAAAGATCTAGAAAGCACAGTTTGACTGTGAAAAGCAAAGATCCCTTACCCACGCATTTTACGAAAAATGTGCAGAAAGCCATTGACAAATATACCAGGTAAGAATTAACCTATTCGATGCTTCTGATTACAAAATCACAAAATGCCTGTAACAAACGTGGTCAAATCAGTGGCAGGCCGTGAATATCTAAAATATAAAATGCAACTTTATTTTTTACCTAGTGAAAATGTTACACTGCAAAAAAGTTCTATTTTTTATTTATTTTTATTTTTAACAAATTATTTATTTACTATGGAGTTGTTCAAGTGAGGGTCTGCTACATAAGTAGGCTGCATACAGGTGAAGTTTGGTTTTCTAACTGGCCCTCAGTCCTCCTGGTACCTGCAAAAACATGTTAAAATTAGTGTGCTGTGACATTAACAAATATGTTTACTGAAAGAAGGAGGAAGTGGGCTCAGAGAAGGGAAGCCGCTTGCCAGGGTCACCTCTTTGCAGTATGTGTCACTTCTGGTGCTTGTGTTCATTCCTGCAGTGACTCCCTGTCATCGTCGTCATCCAGTGGAAGCCACACTCCCACGGACACCCACAACTCTTGGTCTGGATCTGCCACCCGGAGCTCGACCACTGGGTTGTCTACAGAGAGGAGCTCAGTTTATTCCTGGAGAGATGATGTATGTCCCAGAATCTTCTGGATAGTCCTGTAATTGCAAGTTACAGTGAAGAATTGCTTATGTTCACATTTTTTTTACTAACTATAAATACATTACCTGTTACATGTGTATATATACATACAAATGAAAGCATTTCCATGTTACATGTGAAAATATTAAAACGGCAAAATACAGAGAAAGACTGTACTCTTAGGTGTTGACAGTTTTGTGTCCCCCGTCCAGCCCTCTCCTCCTGTGTGTCCTGTATGAGTTCGTGCTTGGTATCTGTGGCTGGAAATTCAGGACAGACACTGACAATTAGGAACTTGAATAAGAGGAAAATTTTGGAAAAGCAAAAACTGTGAAACATCACCATGATCAGAGAATTTCCTATTCGAAGTCACACATTTTACTTTCACCTTCGAACCCTGGCAGAAGCTATTCACTTTAGCCCTATTTCTTTTCTTTGTGACAGGAGGGCTCTCAGCTGGGAAGGCTTTTATTCTTCAGCTCTGGTTCCTAAATAAAGAACCCTGCTAACTCCATGGGTCATGCCTCTTTCTCCCCTCAAGTGTCTCTGAGGATCGGGGATACAGCCTTTTATAAAGTGCACCTGGCCGCCACACCCTGGTGTTCTGTTTTCCCTCCTTGTTTGCGCTGTTTTTCTTCACTTTCTTTAAAAGCCGTTTCCGCACTCCTGTGGCACCTCTGGTCAGCTCCCTGTGTGGCTGCACAGCAGTGATGCCCAGGCAGCCGGTAGCAAGGGGGATGCGGAGGGGAGTCACTCAGAACTACTCGGAGGACTTTTCAAACTTGTATCTCTTGCACGGGTGACCCACCCTTGTGTCCACACTGCCACCACCTCCACACCCCCCTTTACTGATGCCTGTGAGGAGAAGGCCGAGAGCCATTGCTTCGTCGTGTCCGAATTCTGGATTTCTTCTAGTACAAAATTTCATGGAATTACCAGGGAAAATTCTTATGATTTCCATTTACATAATTTAAAATACCCCAAACCCTACAATTGCTTTTCATTTTAATTTTTAAAAAATTATTTACTAGCCGGGCTCGGTGGCTCAGCCTGTCATCCCGCGCCTTTGGGAGGCTGAGGTGAGTGGATTGCCTGAGCCCGCAGGTTCGAGACCCGCCTGGGCAGCGAGACCTCATCTCTACAATAAAAAAAAAATCAGCCGGGCATGGTAGCACATGCCTGTAATTCCGGCTACTCGGAAGGCTGAGAGGAAGGATCGCCGGAGCCCAGCAGGTGAGGCTGTGGGGGCCGGGAGCGGCCACTGCACTCTAGTCTGGGCGACTGAGTGAGACTCCACCTCAAAAAAAAACCCAAAAAAACAACAGCAACAAAAATTATTTACTTTTTTATAGGCAATGTTTGCAAAAACAGCAATATACAGAGAAATGAAAGGGAGCCTCTCCCATGCCTCAGCCATCCAGTCTCCTCCTTGGAGACAAATATGATTATTAGTTTTCCCTTTATTTCATTTTTAAAAAATAATTCAACTCTCCTATAATTTTGGAATCTAGGTTATTACTAATTTGAGAGAAGAACTGACTTAGAAAATACTATGTAGCGTGCTATGAAAATCAGCATGGGCTGGCCAATTTGGGTTGGGTCTGTCAGACTGAATATACACTTTGTGGCTCTCTCTGAGTTGAGGGTGAGGACTCAGATTCACATTCTCCTAGAAGAAAGTGTGGCTGGACACTTGCCCTGGAGCGTACCTGTACAATGTTGGTTCTCCCAAAGTATTACTGCTCTAGGAGTAAGGACACGTTCTCCTTACTGCCTGTGAGAGTTTCAGGACTGCTGCCTCCCAGCTGAGACCATCAAAGAAGGTTTTCTCACCTGCAAGTCACTGCAGCTGTGCTATGAAAATCTCTTAAAGCCAGAGAAAAAATTAATATTCTGGCTTCACCCTAGTAACCATACTTAAGATAACTAAGGATTTGGGTTTTTTTTAATTCATTGATGAAAATAAGGTTGATGGTTCTTTCTACAAAAATAATTTTCTTTTCTGTGTATCATTAGAAGTAAAAAAGATAGCTGGTATTTTGCAGGTGTGTCAGACACAATTACATGGATGACTTGCGCGCGTGTGTGCATACGTAGATATATAGGTGTGTGTATGTCTGTGTCTCAATAGTCTATGTCACTGTGGATAGCTATACCTATATCTGTGTAAAATCTCAACTAAGTCTCATAACTCAGGCATAGAAGTGAACTCTATTTAACATTTAAAGGAGGTGAGGGTGATCTGGCTGCATTTGTCACCCCATTGATTGCCAGGTTGCTTCGGCTGATTTGGCTGGCTAGGCGGGTGCCCCCTTCCTCTCTCACTGCTCCGTGTGTGTCTCTCCCAGAGCTGCACACAGTCAAAGAGGATGACCATTCCCACTAAAAGGACCGTTCCTTGGTCCAGGGATACGAGTGGTTGCGCTCCCCTGTTAGTACTTCCAAGCAAGTCTACTTAACAAGAATCTGACACACAGAATGAGATGTCATTTATCAGACAAGTAGGACCAGGAGCACTAGCATGTCTGACTACAAAGCCCATATTCTTTTTGACCGTGTTGCACTTCCTCCTCTATAAAGGGTTTGCTTGACATTATAAGCGTCATTGACTGTGAAGCTTATATTCTGTGACTTTCAGTGTTGTCACTAAATGTGTATCTCTGTTTCAGGAATTCGACAAAGCCAATGCACTGAAAGTGCAGCAGTTATTCTGGGAGGTCGAGGAGATGTTATTTGAAGGGAAGGTGAGCCCCCAGACTCAGAATCTACTTGCCGAGTGCAGTGAGTGGACACGAAGATCCCTCCATCTGAGGTAAGGATATTGTGCTTAGGAATTCTCTGGAGTGCGTTTTTGAACCTCCACTCCTGATTTGGTTTAATACAGTCAGTACATTTGGACTGAAAGCACTCACACAGTCAGAATACGTACCCAGAACACGGTCCTTTCCTGAGAATTCCCATCCTTTGTGATGGTATCTGAGGAAACACTGAGACATTCCAATACTCAGGTGACTTTTAATTTGCGAGAAGCAAATCTGGCTCATCCTCAGAGAGGCATCACACATGTAACAATGGCAAGAATGGTGGGCGTGATCTTTCCCAGTCACTGGTATGTGAACAGCGCGAATCTGTCCTCATTACTGAGAGCTACACGAGGGACTGAGCGGGCAGAGTGATGACTTGCAGAACGTCTGGTTACACGAGTCTTTCCATCTCACCGCATTCCTTGTGTATGGAGGACCACTTATTATGTTCTTACTGAAGGGAAGCTTTTTTCCCTCAGTGTCTTGGCCAGCCTGCTTAGGAGACAGTTTCTCCCAATGATCTTAAAGTTCTTCTAGATTATATTTGGGGCAAATAAATGAGAATACTCATATAAATGTGAATGGATTTTCTGGTTACCTCAACAGGTAACTTAAAAAATACCTTGGCCGGGCTCGGTGGCTCAGCCTGTAATCCCGCGCTTTGGGAGGCTGAGGTGAGTGGATTGCCTGAGCCTGCGGGTTCGAGATCTGCCTGGGCAACTTGGCAAGACCTCGTCTCTACAATAAATCAAAAAATCAGCCGGGCGTGGTAGCGCGCGCCTGTAGTTCCGGCTACTCGGAAGGGTGAGGCGGAAGGATCGCTGGAGCCCGGCAGGTCGAGGCTGCGGTGGCCGGGGGCGGCCACTACACTCCAGTCCGGGCGACCGAGTGAGACTCCAACCCCCCCAAAAAAATCTTGAGTAGGTAGTTTTCTTTCTTCTTTTCTGTCCTTCATAAGCCTTCTGTCTTAAAGAGTATGACGTGTTCTTTAGCCCTTCATTACAGATACGCACTTTTCTAGGGAGGGTGCACTTACCAAGAAGTCAGGTGCTCAGGCTTCCCCTGAAGACCAAGCCAGTGTGAGAACAGTGAGGCTGCGCTTCCAAAAAGCCGCACCTTTCCTGTGATGTCCATCCCTCTAGTGCGTCCATACGCACTGGATCCTGTCCTGCATGGGCCTTCAAAGTCATTATTGCCTCTTTTTTCTTTTTCTTTTTCTTTTGAGTCGGAGTCTCACTCTGTTGCCCAGGTGGAGTACAGTGGCATGATCACTGCTTACCACAGCCTCGAACTCCTGGGCTCAGGGATCCTTCTGCCTCAGCCTCCTGAGTAGCTGGGACTACAGGCAGGCACCATTACACCCCGCTAATTTTTAAATTTTCTTTTATTTGTAGAGATGAGATCGTACTATATTGTCCAGGCTGGTGTCAAACTCCTGAGTTCAAGTGGTCCTCCCTCCTTGACCTCCTGAAGTGCTGAGATTACAGGTGTAAGCCACTGTTCCTGGTCTCTCCTGCTTTTGTAATTGCAAAACAATTATTTACTTATTTTTACCTCGTAGAGTATTAGGAAGACAACTCATCCCACCAACTGACGACGGGATCCAGCACTTCCAAGGCAGCTCACCCGGCTCAGCGGCCCCCAGGCCCTCCTTCCCTGCCTGTGGATGCAGCAACAGCCTCAGAGAGTGTGTTCGGATAAGTTACCCTCATAAAGTGTTTTTGACTGTATTTTAGTTATGCCTTGTTTGCTTTTTCCATGAACCTTGGCTATACCACATTTGGAAGTTTTTATTCCAATGAAGGGCAGGTACAGAGAATTTCTTTCACAAGATGCTTCTGATTCGAAACTGATGATGTGTGATGTGTGTGTGTGTGTGTGTGTGTGTGTGTATGCAAGTCCGTAAAATATGTATGGAATATATAGGCACTGGTATATTTACAGCAATTAACTTAAATTCTTCTAAAGGAGCGCTAGGTACAGAATCAAAAACTGCCTCCTTGGAATGCACCATAATCCGCAGGGCAGTCACAGAGGAAGAAATAAAGCTTCATTCTTTTTTCTTTCGCTCACTAGGAGATTTTGATACATTTCTTTATGCCATTCACATATTGGCCATGGTGCCAGGACATCCTTTCATTACAGCAAGGAGGATGCAAACTCATAGAATGATTTAGGCTTTTAAGAAGCCTTGAAGCCAGACGTGATGGCTCACACCTGTAATCTCAGCACTTTGGGAGGCGGAGGCAAGAGGATTGCCTGAGTCCAGGGATTCGAGGCCAGTCTGGGCAACTTGGTGAGACCTTGTCTCTACAATAAATCAAAAAACAAGCCAGGCATGGTCGCACATGCCCATAGTTCCAGCTACTTGGAAAGCTGCGGTGAAAGGATCGCCTGAGCTCAGCAGGTCGAGGCTGCAGTGGCCATGAATGTGCCACTGTACTCCTACCTGGGCGACAGAGTGAGACTCTGACTTTAAAAAAAAAAAAAGAAGCCCTGAAAATTTTGAATGATGCCTGTGTTGAAATGTTTTTAAGGATATAAGTTTTGTCAAACATAATCTTTATAATTTTTTTATTTGGGATCCTGTACATTATGGAGAACTTGAAGATCCACCACGATCATGCAAGCATTGCCTTTTTGATGTCCTACAAACTCCCATGTAGCGTCTGTTTTTCTCCGTAGGCTGTGCATCTCTGGCTCTCAGCTAGTCCCAGCAGCATTCTCAGCCTCTGCCCTGCCGGGCCCAGATGGCACAGGGGCTGCTGACCTAAAGGCATATTCATCCCTGGAAGAAGAGGTTTATGACATGGATGGAAAGATTGAAGAGTACTTCGCTTTTGACAAAAAAGTGGAGTGAGTAGAATTTTATTTGACGTTGACTTCATAGTATAATATTGATTTGACATTTGTTTTTATGATGTGTTCATTTAGTGTTTTGGGTATCTTTTTCTGTTCTTTTGAGAGTAACGTACTCCCCAGAGCGTTTAGATTTCTAGCAGGAAGTGTATGTGCAAGAGCAATGCTTCTTTTTTCTTCCTGATACTGTAGGACAGCGAGAAAACAAGAATTGCGGTCAGCATGTTGGGGAAAACAGGCCAGGCCCTCCTGCCCAGGGGCAGCAGGTGCCCAGCAGTTGCCTTCCCAGAAGGGCTAAGGGGATGTTTCAGTCTCTGTAGTTTCTGCACTATATTTCGCTCTTAAACAAAAGCTGCAAATATTGTATGATAAAAACTTGCCTCGTGATTAAAAATTGCCACACTGAAACATCACACTGTGCTAAAACAAATCTTAACAAGTTTAGGAAGATTGAAATCCTATCAAGCATCTTTTCTGACCACAGTGGTGTGAAACTAGAAGTCAATAACAGGAAGAAAACTGGAAAATCCCCAAATATGTATAAATTAAACAGCATACTCCTGAGCAAGCAGTAGGTCAAAGAAGTCAAAAGGGAAATTTAAAAAGATCTTGAGACAATTGAAAATGGAAATACTATACCAAAACCAGAGCTTATGAGATGAAGCAAAAGCAGTTCTAAAGGGAAGTTTATTGCAATAAATGCTTACATGAAGAAAAAAAGAAAGATTTCAGTAAACCACCTAACTTTTTACCTGAAGGAACAGAAAACAGAAAAACAAACTAAGCCCAAAGTGAGTAGGAAAAAGTAAATAACCAGGAACAGAAATAAGTGAACTAGAGATTAGAAAAAAGGAATACATCAATGAAACTAAGAGTTTTTTGGTTTTGTTTTTTCTTCTAGCTTCATTAAGGTATAATTGACAAAAATTGTATATATTGAAAAAATGGGCTGTTTGAAAAAGAATGAATGCTTATTAAGATATGTATGAATGTACACGCATGCACGCCTTATCGATAGGAAGGCAGGTAGGTAGATAAAATTATTTTAACTTCAGTCATTGGTGCTTTCAGTAATCGGAGTGAGTTTTTGTCCTTAGTGATGATGACTCTCTTGAACAAAAACCAGCTCACCATGGTAGGAAATTGCAGAAACACGGCCTTCCTCCCATCTCCCCTCATGACTGCATCAAGGATGCGGTGGCGGCAGAAGTGTTTGATCACGTCTGGACAAATGTGGTAGAATTGTTGGAAGAACTGATTAGAAAAAAATGGGAAGCTACACTCACAGGTACTTATCTGTGGCCTACTGAAAGGAGAAAAACAGCCTTGTCCCTCAGCTCTCTGTGCTCCTTACCCCAGGGGGACCATCCTAGAACGTGACTGGAGTGAGAAGAAAAGTGGGCTTTCTGTCTTTGCTTGCAAGTGATTTTTAATCACCCTAATCAGGATGCTTTTTTTTTTTTTTAAGTTATAAAAATAATGCATATGCAGTCTGGGAGAAAAACACAAATATACAAGAAAGAAGCTAGAAGCCATTTTTTTAAAATTATGGTTAAAAAAAAATTTACCTGACTAATCTCTCATATGGGATATTTGTTTTTAATTGCTCATGATGTTATTTTTTGGGAACATATTTATGTTGTTTTTAATGATAACTATAATATTAACCAGTTTTTAAAAATGACATATGAAATGGTCTGTAACCTCACGGTCCAATTCAACCTTGTTAACACTTTTACAAATAAAAGCACTTCCTGTATGTGCATAAAATCAGAAATTCAAACTAAAAAGGATGCTTCAAAACAGGAAAACTGAAACTTCCCATTCCTCTTACCCCAAGTCCCTCTCCCCAAAGAAAATTATTTTCATTATTATTATTTGAGTTGGAGTCTCACTGTGTTGCCCAGTCTGGAGGGCAGTGGCAGGATCATGGCTCACCATCATGACCTCGACCTCCTGTACTCAGGTGATCCTTCCACTTTAGACTCCCCAATAGCTAGGCTTGACATTATTTGTAAAGTAAAATATAAATATAGCTAATTGAATAATTATTTGATTTATCTTTTTTCAACTTATAAAATGCTCTCTAAACTACATAAAATTAACAAAAATTAATCATAGAAATATTGATAGTTTTATGTAACCAATTTATACAATAAGGCAATAATCATGTTACTTTAAATACCGTTCTTTTTCCAGCCAAAAGGATTAGTTGGGCTTTTATAGAATACTGAGAAGCTCTGGTTTTCTACACACTACTGAAATTATAGTTACACCAGCCAGTTCATTCCGTGGGGATCTCTGCTGTTTATAGTAATGTTATTTTACCAGTGGCCGTAGCATGGACTTACGGTAACTCAGGAACAAATATTCTCTTTGAAGGATGAATTTTAGGCATTTGTATTAGTTAATCGGAAGTTTCTTATAACACAGTTTCTTCTGTTGACACAGAAGGAAAAAACCAGAAAGAAAAATATAAAGTTGCTGAAAACAAATCTGCACAAATCCTCATTTCCCGTACCCATACGGATGTGTCCAGTGTTCCTCCATCCAGAAGTTCTGAAACCCACGGCACATCTCTGCCTTATCATCTTAACCCTCCCCTGGTAGGTGCTTTTCTATTAGTCTGTTTTTCACACTTATATCTTTATATCTCTCACCTCGGTTTGTCAAGAGTACCGTTCTATTAAATTCTAGTATCACGTTATTTGGGTCTGTATGTTGATAAGGCTATAATGCAATGTGATTATTTCATGAAGTTTAATAGAATAGCCACATGACACTGCTTTGAGAGATGGAGCTGTTTTCCATATTTTGGGAGCTAAGGTGAAAATTATAAATGGTCTCTTTCCTTCTGCCAAAGTGATAAAAGAATCAAGGCTTATATGTTTGATTCATTCACTATTTAGTTCGTGTGTAGTTATGGTGTTTCGAGGAGGTATGTAGAAGAAAACATAGTCCCTGACCTCGTGAAACAAAAACTATAACGCAAGGTCAGATGCAGTATATACCGTGAGGACCGTGCAAAAAAAGAGTTGTAGGCGAATCAGGGAGAAAATGGATTCATCTTTGTTAGAGGATGAGGATTGGTCTTTTACCTTGGAGATGAAATTTGAGCAGAAACATAAAGAAATGAGTAGGACTTTAGGGGGTGAGAATTTTGGGTGGGCGTGGGTGAATGAAAGAGGAGGTATGTATGGGGAATCATCGTTGGCCTAAGGTTAGGGGATAGGATACTGGCTGTAGAGCAAGAACAGGGGATATGGAGTCAAGAGGCCTATGAGGAGTAATGTTTTGGAATATTGAACTTTTCTAAACTTAGCTTCTTATCTGTATGATGAGGATAATATGTTGTGAAAGACAAAATCATAGCAACAGATGAGAGCTACTAACACCAAATCTGGCATATACTTAGCATTCAGTCTACTTTTGGTGAATTGCATTCTTATTCAAAGATCTTGTAGCAGGTGAGGCAAGAAAAGATGTCTTGTTCATGGGAGGTTGCTGGGGTACTGGGGAGGTTGTTTACTATCACTCATGTGGGGAACAGAGGGGAAAAGAGAGAAGGCAGGATTCCTGGTCTTGAGCTACATCTAATTTACAATTTAGTTGGAGGAAGTCAATCTAGGCCAGAAAATACTAAATACTACACACATGGGCACACATGTGTGCACACACACACATACACACACACACAAGAAGAGGCAATATGGCTGAGAGTAGAGGAATAAGAGTTTGGACCTTGCATGCAGCCTGCAAGGACTACAGGTTCTGAGCCCGATGTCTCCATTTATTAGCTTTGTGATTTTATTCAATCCCTTTCTCTCAAAACCTCAATTTCCTGCTTTATGAGACAGAGGAGGCAGGTAGCTGTGAGACTTAAAGGAGATAAAACGTGTACTGTAGTGTGTGACGCAATAGTGTCACCTCTTACTGTGATCAGGTACCAATTATGGATTATATATAATATTATGTAGACTATAAGAGCTGGGGGGTTCATATTTTTCAAAAGATAGGGTAAGACATGAACTAAGCCCTCAATGATAGGTATGATTTGTTAAGCTGGAAAAAAAGGCAGAGGCTATTCCAGGAAAAGGCAAAAATGCATACCTCGCACAGGAGCAGCTAGGCAGAGTATCCTCGTCAGATTGAAAGGACGCAGACTGGAAAGAATCTGTGTTTCAGGTAGCAGTGCATCAGACAGAATGTCTAAAAGGCTTGCTTTACTCTCTAGTATAAGGGCTTTCCGATAAGTCTGCTTCGCTTTATCCATTGGAAAGAAACTTAGAGAATTGTTACCTACTTCCTGTATTTTTTGTTTCTTAAAACTGCCCTGACAGGTTCAATACAATATTTTCCACTTTTTAAAATAGGCAGTATGGGGTTTTACATGTAAACCACTGATCCATTTTGAGTTGATTTTAGTATATGGTGATAGATAAGGGTCCTGTTTCATTCTTCTGTATGTGATTAGCCAGTTTCCCCAGCACCATTTACTAAATGTAGTTTACTTTCTCCAATGTTTGTTTTTGTCAGCTTTGTTGAAGATGAATTGGTTAGGGGACTGTGGTTTTATTTCTGAATTCTCTGTCTTGTTCCATTAGCCTATGTGTCTACTCCTGTCCAGTATCATGCTGTCTTGGTTACTGTAGCCTTGCAGTAATATTTAAAGTCTAAAACTATGATTCTTCCAGTTTTGTTTCTTTTGCTAAGGATTGCTTTAGCTATTTGGGCTCTTTTTTGCTTCCATATGAATTTCTGTATTGTCTTTTCTAGGTCTGTGAAAAGTGTTGGCAATATGATAAGGATTACATTAAATCTGTAGATTGCCTTGGGTAGAGTTATTGATGATATTGATTCTTTGTTGAGTAGTGTTCTGTAGGGCTCATTGTAAAGGTTTTTCACATTTTTAATTAGGTAGATGCCAAGATATTTTATTTTTTGTGACTGTTGTGAATAGGATTGTGTTTTTTATTTGATTCTCAGCCTGCTTGTTGTTGGTGTATAGAAATGCAACTGTCTTTTGCACATTGATTTTGTATCCTGAGACTTTACTGAAGTCATTTATCAGTGTGAGGAGGTATTTGACAGACTCTCTAGGGTTTTCTAGGTATCGAATCATGTCATCTGCAAAGAGGGATAACTTCCTCTTTTCCTATTTGGATACCCCTGATATCTTTCTCATGCCTGATTGTTCTGGCTAGGACTTCTAGTACTATGTTGAATAGAAGGGGTGAATGGGCATCTTTGTCTTGTTCCAGTTCTTAGGAAGAATGCTTCCAGCTTCTGCCCGTTAAGTGTGACGTTGGTTGTAGGTTTGTCATAGATGGTTCTTATTGTTTTGAGAAATGTTCCTTCAATGCCTAGGAGTTGGAGGGTTTTTATCAAGAAGGGATGCTGGATTTTATCAAATGCTTTTTCCATGTATGACGAGATCATCATGGACCACTTCTACACCATTAGTGGGAATGTAAGGTAGTTCAACCTTTTGTGGAAAGCAGTGTGGCATTTTCTCAGAGAACTAAAAGTGAACTTCCATGCACTCCAACAATCCCACTTCTGGGAATATGCTCAGAGGAACATAAATTGCTCTACCAAAAAGACACCTGCACATGTATATTCATTGTAATACGATTCATAATAGCAAAAACATGGAACCAACTCAGATGCCCATCAGAAGTGGACTGGATAAAGAAAATATGGTACATACATGGGGAGGGGGACCAAAAGACCCAGAATTTATTCATAAAAAATTGTGTATTTATTCTTTATTCTTACATGTTTAAAATTCAGTCACCTTCAGAATACTCTCCATTTGATGCAATATACCGATTGAGACACTTTTTCCACTGCACAAAACAGTTTTTGTGGGTGTGTATAGGTTGGAATCTCACTCTGTTGCCAGTGGGCTCTGCAGTGGCACACTTACAGCCACGCAGCGTCAACCTGCTGAGCTCAAGTGATCCTTCCACCTCAGCCTTCCAAGTGACAGGAACTATATATAGGCCTGTGCCACCGTGCCCTGCTAACTTTGTGATTTATTGTAGAGACGAGGTCCTGCCGTGTTGCCCAGTCTGGTCTCAGTTCCTGGGCTCAGGCAGTTCTCTCTCCTCCAGCTCCCAAAGTGCTGAGATTATAGTCGTGAGCCACTCTGCCCAGCTTCAAAACAGTTTATGAACTTGTCAGTTTTGATGCCTTTTAGTGCTTCTGTGGTTTTTGTTTCACCTCTTCTACGCTGGCAAAGCATTTCTCTTTGAGGACTTTTTTCATCAAGGAAACAAACACACACACACAAACGTCTCTCAGGGCGAGATCGGGTGAACTGAGAGGGTGGGGCCTGAGGGTCATGCTGGTTTTGGTCAAAAATTGCTGAACACTCAGCGCATGTGTGGGCGGCTGTGTTGTGTGCCACAAAAAAACACAGCCTCTCACCGCAGTGCTAGCTGGCACACTGCCACTGTTCGGTTCTCAGACCACTAACTTAGTGGGGGAAGTCTGTACTACGAGGGGCCTGTTCTCCAAAATAAATTCTGGTTTTTTGCGTGTCCCCCCCCCCCGCATATGATGGAATAGTAGGCATCCAAAAAGATCAAAATCATGTCCTTCATGGCAACATGGATGCAGCTAGAGATCACCATACTCAGGGAACTATTGCAGAAGCAAAGAACTGAGTACCCCATGTTCTGACTCAGCAGTGGGCCCTGATCACTGGTCACATGAGCAGGGATGGGATCAGCAGATGCTGGCCACTGCTAGAGGAGGGAGGGAGGAAGGGGGGATGGAAAGCACATGTCAACACACTGGGTGCTCGGCCCCCTGTCAGGGGAGAGAGGGCTTGCTCGACATCCAAGCTTTACCTGCACGCAGCTTACTCTTGTAGTAAATCCCCTTCTGCACCCCACGCTCTAAAATGAAAAAAATGGGGAATACGAATCTCTTAAAATGAACAGTTGATGACAATCTAGGAAAAAACCTTTAGATATCAGGCGAAATGAATAGACTTGAAAAAGAAAAAAATAAAGCAAAAATAGAGCCTATGTAAAAATAGTCAAAACATTCTAGTGGTCATTGTAGTAGAGCTTGCTTTATTTCTGTAACATTGGTTTTTGCATCTCTCCAATGTGGGGAAAATGTGATTGTGGTTACCTATATTCTTGAACCAGAATTGAATTCTAGTCTAAGAAATCCCCTTCTCCTGAATCTAAATCTCATTTTAAATCCTAGTGGGTCATATTGCAGGGCTGAAGAGGAAATTAATCATGATTCAGCCCGTACTTTATGCTTTTGCAATATTACCTAATCTGATTCTCATAATGGCTCTGTGAGGTAGCTATCATTATTCCCCAACTTGAAGATGAGGAGACTAAAGCTTCCAGAGGAAAATCGTCTTTCCAAGGTCACCAGCCAGGATATAGTTAGAACTGGGATGAAGCGGAAGCCTTTGATGCCTCATGCTTGCGTTTCTCCTTGGGCCATCTGGCTGCTTCTGGGCAGAGAATGCCGCAAGTATGAAGGATGGGAAAAAGAACAGGGGTCAGGCAAGCAGACCAGGTAGGACTGCACCACCATTGCTTCCTATCTCCCGTTTCCCTCTCCACCTTCTTCATTCAGAGGCAGACACATGCTGACTGCATCAGAGGAAATCTCCAGCCTCTGGGAGCTCTACTCACCTGTGGCCTCCCCTGTGTGGACACAGTGGCCAGCTGGCGTTCCTCCCATGTGGTTGCCCTCTTAGGTGCATGGTCCTCTGAAGCCCTCACTTCTTGCCACTTCGTAAACTAACCCTTGGGGAGTAAACCAATTCCTTCGTAATGTCTCATCCCACATCTTTATAAATCGAATCCTGATATGAGCCTTGGGGAATGAACCAGTTCCTTGATACTGTCTCATCCCACATCTTTATAAATATAATTCCATTGTTAATTTTCCTACAATTAGCCAGCTTTAATGTGCCGTTTGTTTTCCTGCTAATTCTTCACAGGCATTGGTACTTGGAATGGCATTTTTCAATTTTTTTTTTTTTACTGTTTTCAGATTCATCGCTTCTCCAGTAATTTTTACAGTGATTTGAATGGTGTGATGACAATTCAAGCAAAACCACTTCAGCAGAGACCTACCTACTTTGCAGATAGAACGCAGTAAGTATAAGAAACAGTCACCCAGCCTCTGCCCTGTACTGGCAGCAGCTGAGCCCTAAAGACTGCAGGGGACGTGAGGTCGTGACGGCCCCGTTTAATCCCAGGCTCCAGAGGTGCCTGAGCACGAGCCAGGGGGGCATGCCACCAATGTGTAAGAAAAAGACAGATTATTCCAGTCAGCCACAAAGCAATTACTATCGTGTTTTAGGTGGGAGAGCTGAGGAGTGGACGATGCAGCCATGAAACGCCTCATCTTGTGGGCTTTATTCTTTGATTACTCACAATAAAAAAAACTTAGCTCACTGAAGCAGAAATGGAAGTGATAGTCTGTCCGTTCATTCAACAGTACCTGGGAGTATGTTGTATGAGCCAGGTGCTGTTCTAGACAGTCCTCACAAGGCACAGTAGACGTGTGCCCCTGTTCTCACGGCACTCACATCTGAGCAACTCACCGAACTTCCCTCCCCAGGTATGAGCAAGAGGACAAATCGTGGGGGGGAGGAGCCAGTGCTGTCTCCTCTGTACGACACCGACCAGGACGCATCTCAGATGCACGCAGGTTACAGACTTCTGCAAAGAAAACCCCAGCGCGTTGGAGGCTGCCCTCTCTTTCTTCAGATTCCCTGAGAATAAAAACTCCCAATATGTATCGTGACGAAGTTCTCCAGGGAACAAAGCTGTAAGTCTTGTTTCTCTTAAGGTTGCATAGGACAAAGACACTTGTCAGTGAGAGTTATGGATGTAGCATCCTCCATCAAATTTTATGCAGACAGCCGGGCTCGGTGGATCAGCCTGTAATCCTGTGCCTTTGGGAGGCTGAGGTGAGTGGATTGCCTGAGCCCACAGGTTCAAGAACCGCCTGGGCAACTTGGCAAGACCTCACCTCTACAACAAATCAAAATGAGCCGGGCGTGGTAGTGCGCGCCTCTAGTGCCAGCTGCTTGGAAGGCTGAGGCGGAAGGATCGCTGGAGCCCAGCAGGCCGAGGCTGCGGTGGCTGGGAGCGTGCCACTGCACTCCAGTCGGGGTGATGGAGTGAGACTCCAACTCAAAAAAAAATTTTATGCAGATATTTTTCTAGTGAGTTTATCAATTTGAATATTTGACATTAACCTCATTCCAGTGGTATACTTAGCTGTATACTGGAATATAAGGTCAAGAAGTATCCCGGTAGCACAGACAAGAAGGTGGAAGGAGACTGATGGGGGTGATCTTGGGTTGCTTTAAGTGACCTCATCTGTAAAATGAATAATTAATTAATACTTCTAAATTACATAATTAATACTTTTATGGGGAGGTTTGCATAAGATGATGTATATAAAATGGTTTAAAATAAAAGGAATACATACCTATCAGTTTTTCATCTTAAAGGATGTGCTTCATCTGTGTAGGAGTTTTAGGAAAGCTTTTGATCTTAAGAATTGGATTACATCGCATAATTGCCTTATCAGAAAGGTACTTGTCTTTTCTTTGATTGTAGGATTTCAAAGGAACTTTCCAACTAAAGTCCCGGGCCACACTTTTATTAGTAGTAACAGGGTTTATTGATGGCTTTCTTTGTTACCAGCACAGGAAAATGTATTACATTTAATATTGTCTTTATTTCCCACCACAAACTTTTCAAGTTGATACACACATTATCCCAAATCTCAGATGAGAAAACAGAGGCTGAAGGAAGTTGATCACTTGCCAAAAGGGAACCGGGGCACACCCCAGGGCTCTCTAACTTGAAAGTCCACCCCTGGACCAAGGTGCTGTAGACTTTCCACAGCAAAGGAGGTTATCACAGGTGCTGAGCTCAGGCCCCCTGCAGGGTCTGGAGGAGCATACTTACTGATACCTGGACTTTTTCAAGATGCATTCTTGGCACCCCTTTCGGCTTTATTACTATCATTTTTGGAGTTGGGATTCTCACTCTGTTGCCCAGGCTGGAGTGCAGTGGCATGCTCACAGCCGCTGCAGCCTTGACCTGCTGGGTTTGGGTGATCCTTCTACCTCCGCCTTCCAAGTAGCTGGAACTCCAGGGATGCACCGCCACGCCCAGCTAGTTTTTTGATTTATTGTAGAGATGAGGTCTCACCAAGTCGCCCAGGCTGGTCTCGAACCCGTGGGCTCAGCATTCTTCTTGCCTCTGCCCAAAGTGCTGGGATTATAGGCGTGAGACACTGCGCCCTGCCCTTTTCAGCTTGTTGATGAGTCAATATTTCTTTCACATTTGGGACTGAAACACTGGTTTGAGTCTGCTCCGTTCATTCTTTCAAGAGTCCTCTCTTTCTTCCCCCTTGCACACCTGCTTCACACTGTGCTCTCTCCTCTTCCTCCCAGTCGACCCAGGCTTCCCTGGCAGGCCTTAATCCAAAACCATTTCTCTTTCCTATTGAAGTAGGAAATGGCATATTCCAAGGGCGCATTCCCTACATGCCCCTCCCTCTATGTGGGCTGGTGTTTTTCAGTCTTTGTTTCATGATTAACCCTTCTAAGACTCTTTTTCCTAATTCCTCCGCCACCCATGGAATTTTAATCCCGCAGATAGACTCTTTATCTACATGGATGGCTGGGCTTTGTACATAAGAATAAAGCTGTTTGCCCCAAGGACTGATATTTGCCCCTCTGGGAAAAAACACCTGCTTTGATGATGTGCACCTTGACCATGGCTCCTCCTCACCCGCCTGGATTCTGGCTGACCTTGTCTTCATTCTGCTGCACAGACACACCTGTTATGTGTCTTCTGACTTCGATGATTTTGTTCATCCTCGTTCACTTTTACTGAAATAACACTTTTCCCCCTAGTTATCAAAGTGCTGTAAGTTCACTGGGGAACATTAGGGCAATACCACATATGAGTATATGTGTAGAAATCAAAGCTCCCCTGTGTGCTCATCACACAAAAATATAGAAATGACAGCTGCTGGCAAACTTCCTAACAATTTTGTCTAGGATTATATTTTTTCTTTTCTTTCCATTGTCTTTTCTCTAACACTGGTTTTAGCTTACTGTTGTATAATGAGCACTTTTTCATATTCTTTTTTCACTTAACATTATATCATTTGTATTTCTATCAAATATTTTTTAAAGTATGATTTTGATGACTACAAAATAATCGTCCCAGTATGTGATGATTTATTAAGTATTTCCATTTTATTTTCCATGTTTTTATTATAATGTACAGTAAACATCAATTTATATAAATCTTATTAAAGATGTCTTTAAATTGTTTCCTAGTGGTGCTATCCTAAAAAGAAACCTACCAGGTCAAAGTGAATGGACATTTTTAAGGTTCTTGAAATATCAATATTTTGCCAAAGTGCTTCCCAGAATGGTTGTATCAATTTCTAACCCCATTGATAATTCCTGAGACTGTCTCTTTCTCTACAGCCTCTAAACTTTGGGTAATATGTGTATTTTAAAACTTGACCGTTTATAGGTCAAAATTTGTCATATTGTAACTTTGATAACTTTTTTATCGGTGAATAAATAAATTAGAATCTGTACCTAGAATATCTATCTCTTATTATGCAAGAACTAGACAGTGTAATTTTTGAAGATTAATATCTGGTAGGGATAGAGTCTCTTGTCATGACTCCTCAATGATTAAAATTTACTCACCCTTTCTGAAACATAAGCTTATATTCAGAACCATATGCCATAACCATATACTCTGTTACCTTGTTCTACAGTTACTTCATGTCTTTTTATCTTGTTTTCTATAATTTGTCAACTCCTTGAGGGGAGGACTAGAGCCTCGATTCCTTCTGTGCTCTGCAAAGTTCCCGTGAGCCCAGACTGACTGCCGTTGCCTAGCAAGGAAGCTGTGACTGGAGCAGGTGGTCCCCGCTCACACTTTTCTTGCTGAAACTCTGCTTGTTCTACCTGAACATTGCTTTTGGCAGGCAGCGTGTGGTGAACAGCTCAGACTGGAGCTCTGAGAGGGGATCTGCCCCTCTTTCTGCCCCTAGATGCCCTGTTGCATGTTGTTGTGTTCACAGGCAGACCGGCACAGACCTCACGGCTTCTCCGCCAGTTCACACTTCACGGAACAGGTTACCTCCCATAGGCTCAGAGACCGGGGAGCAGAAGGCAGCAGTTCCTGGATCCTGCCCCATGTCTGTAAGACAGATTTCATTATATTTATGTGCACCGTTGGATAGTCTGTTGAAGAGCAAACAGAAATAATCTCGGCATCTCCAAGTGAAATCAGGAATGTAAGAAGAGAGCCGCCTCTTAGCTGTATTCAAATGTCCTCATAATGTGCTTCCAGAAAGTAAATAGCTTATGGGAGCTTACAGGGAACAAGAGGGCTAATTCACCCCATTTTGTGAAATCAAAGCCTGGCTTGAGCTCAGTCAGGCAGCCCAGGTGTCCAGAAAGTTCCTGGTGGTAGGGATGATGCTGCTAAGAAAAGAGCATGTGGTCAGGCCAGGAGGCCAGCAGACCCAGGTTTGGATCCTGCCTCATGAGCTCTATGAGTTGGTACTAGTCACCTGAATGTCCTCGACCCTTAGTTTTCTCCTCCTCTACAAAAGGAGAATAATGATTTCTAACCCCCCCCCACAAAGACTTCTTATAAGGATTAAATAAACTCACACATGGTAAATAATTCCTGACCTGAAATTAAGAGTATGGTGGATTATCACCCATGTTGTGTCTGTCAGCCCTCACTTTCACAGCTAACCTTGGCCGTGCTTATTGTAATGTAGGGGCAATGTCTTCTGCACTCGGCTCCACTCAGCCGTGTCTGGGTAAGCAATGCTGCTATATTGCAGAGTTTCCCCAGATTTTACTATGACTCATTTTGATCCAAGTAATTTGTCTCCATTTTATAAAACACAGAAGGACCCCAATGGTAGGAACAGAAAGACAGCCAGAGGAAAACCATCCAAGGCAAGGTTTTCTCTTGTTCCATGTGCCATTGTGAACACAGCAGTAGAACTCATTCCCAGAAGGCAAGGGTTGCAAAGCTTTCTTGTTTAACCTTGGAACAAAATATTAAAAAAAAGCAAACCTCACATTGAAAAGTGTAATGCTAGGCTGGGCACAGTGGCTCGTGCCTGTAATCCTGCATTTTGGGAAGCTGAGGCAAGCAGATTGCCTGAGCCCAGGAATTCGAGACCAGCCTGGGCAGCATTGTAAAACCTCGTGTACACTTTAAAAAAAAATTAACCAGGCATGGTGACACGTGTCTGTAGTCCCAGCTACCTGGAAAGCTGAGGCAGAAGGATCACCTGAACCCCTCAAGTCAAGGCTGTGGTAGCCATCATCATGTCCTGGCACTACAGCCTGGGCAACAGAGTGTGACTCCAACTCAAATAAATAAATAAATGCTTCACAAATATAGTATTACATTTCTGTTATCATTTAATATGAATTATTTGGGGCTAAGGTTTTTGATCCTATCACCTAGTATGACACTACTTTTTTATCTACTTTAATAATACAATTATGTGATTAAAATATATTTCGGCAGATATGTAGTAGACCTGATACTTAGCGATATCGACATAAAATTTTTCAAATAAGTAAGTGAATGAATAAGTGAGTGAATGATTGCAGCTCACGGAGGTCTTTTGTTGTTTTAAGGACTGCATTTATTTTAAACACAAACATACTGTCTTCCATTTAGTACAGAGGAAGGCACCCACAAAGCCGTGTGTTCAGTGCAATGCCTGACAGTGTAGAACGATTGCCTCTTCAAGAAAGAACTGTTACCCTGGAGCTGTCTTTGAGGCCTAACACAACCCATACATTCCGGGTAAGTTCTCTGTTCACTGCAGCTTTCATTTGGAAAAGTATTTGGAAAAAAATAAAACTCATCCCTCATCTTATTTTTCTCCCAACAGTCAGATACACCTCGAAAAGGTTCGTTGACACCAATGGAATTTGCTGGTCACACGTGGACAGGTCAAAGTATTTTGACAGGCCAACTTTTTCATATATCAATAAGAACGTCATTCGTGACATTTCAAGTTTCAGAAAGTGATATTGACGATGATCTACCTTGATAAGTCTGTTTGACCATATAGGAGGAATTGGCAACTATCTGTGGTCTGTGGCCTGACCTCAGATCTCCATCAAAGAGTAAACCCACATGGACAAGCACTTACCAGTGGTTAGGTCAGAAAGAGGGAAATATCCAACTGCCCTTAATTAACTGGGAAGCTCACTCTCAAAAAAACAGGAAAATGCTGTCTTAGGAAAAGTTACTGTCACTAACTCCGCTACAGAGTTTTCATGCTTTTCTTCTAAATGAAACCCTAATCTTCGATTTTCTTTGAACTCATGATAAAAATGCTTGAGAAAAGTAATACAAATTTTCTAATTATTTTATAACATAGATTTTACATATGTTCAACCTGGTATGCTATTTGAAGAATAAAGTTCTAGTTTGACTACAGGCCAGTGATGTTTCAGCTTTCAAAACTGTTATCTACTTTGTTTTCAAGGAGGTAGCACAGTATGGTCTAGAGACCTACTGCTCTGGAATCTGATATCGGGTTTCCATACCTACTAGCTGTGCAACCTTAGGAATGTCCCAACATCTCTGGACCTCAGCTTTTTCTTTTATAGAAGACTGGGTAGATGTAATAATTATTGGAAATCTGTGAAAAGGACATAGCTAGACGCAACGCTTACACGGCTCAAAAATTATGAAACATTTGTACTACAGATAATCTGAAATGTCAAGAATAATTCACTGCTTTAAGGGAAGTTGTTCATATAATTCTAAAAATAAATGTAGTAACATTTAAGCATTGCATACCACAGACTTAACCCTGTTCCCATCAGCCTATAACCCTACAGTAGTGGCTGTCTTTAGCTCTTTAACATTTTTCTCTTATGCTAAGAGCTCCAGGCTGCTGTGCCTTTTTGATGCTTTTTTTGTTGTTTGTTCCTTAGCAGTGTTTGCTGTCATTCTCGTGACAACACCTCTTTCTCTAAAAGGCAGCCACCCTACATGATCAATTATTGCTTTTAACATAATTGTAGATGGTGGTCGGGCGGGGGGAAGTACACACTTAGCTTTGTCTACTGATCAGTAATGATGTGTCCAGTGCTTATGGTGCCAAGTTCTGGGCTATAGGCTGTAATTCAAAAACCAGGGATGTTTTGGTGTGTGCCTCTAGGAATCTTGAGTCCAGAAGGGAAGTTGGAAAGGGATATGAGAGGTGAGCAGGACCACCTCAACCCCCATTCAGGTAGGTCAAAGGGCAGAGTTTTCCTACAGGAGATGACCACACACGGGATGGGAGAGAAGGGAGTGAAAGCTGGCAGGCTCGATTTTGTGGGTGGCCAGTGCTGGGTGGTGCTAAAGAAGGAACCGGAAGAATTCTGATGGATTCTGCTTTGGAGATGCTGACCACAGCATGCCAGGTGGAGGTGTTCAATAGGTAGTTTGGACACACAGAAGTAGAGATGAGGAGAGAGAGCTGGGTTCTAAATTTGTTTTAAATCTGCACTCAGTGTTTCACCAAAGAGAAGTCTTTGCATTCTCTTAGCAGCAGCTGTAGGACAACTATCATCACTGATGCCTGAGGCCTTTTCTCTTTCTATGGATGTGACTGGGGGTCCTTAAGGGAGATGTTCCTGCATTTCTGAGGTTTTATTTTGTCTCTGATGTGAGGCACATGGCTTCCTTGCTACCTTTGTTTCCAGGAGAAAAGCACCAGGAGCTATTCAACTTTCTATTTGTTCTGTGGTAGAACAAATGAATGGTGAAGAAGCTGAGGGGGTGTCCCAACAGTGAGAAGGGCCCTTAAAGCACTGACATTGGGAAGTAGAAGAAGCCTTGGGGATCAACTTTCGCATGGAAGGTTCTCGCAGACCTGCCAACTCTGGCAGAGCGCGCGGCCAGTATCTACGTTATGGTTTGGTTGGAAAGCCCTAATTTTTTTCTTAGGACCCCTAATGGCAATTTTTGCACATTACTATTTTCTGGTTTATGCAAATGACATTAAAACAAAACAAAACAAAACAAAAATATATATATATATATATTTCTCCTACTGAAAAAGCATCTGCCTGGATGTGAAAAACAATCCTTTTGAGAGATTGAATTCTTTTTAATGAGAATTCCTTTTTGGTTGATGTTTCAGGTTCACAGAATCTGCCTAAATCTTTTCAGAGGACAACTTTGACTTCAAGAAAGAGATCCCAAGTGGCATCTTGAAATGACTTTCCCAGACCTATGGACTCACTGGGGCTTTGGGAGCCTCAGAATACTATATGGAAGGACAAGTATTATGTGTGTCTGACAGTGTGAGATGATAGACTGAGAGAAATGCAAACAAATAAATGACGTAATTTTGAACACCACTCTGCATTGTAAGGAGAAGTCACTGAACTTCTTCACTGGAAGCGTTTCCAAGGTTCGGAAGACCCTTATGTGTGTTTACAATCCATTATTTTATCAGTTATATGCAGACACCATTAGTGTGTGTGTGTTCACACACTAATTAATAGGTAAGAATATATTATCTAGAAATATGCCCTTTGTACCTTGTTTATTGTACCTCGACATATTTTTTGGCCTCATTCTACTCGTGATTCCATCAAAATCCAAGTCAGTAATAAATATCACTCCCATTTTTAGAAATAGCAAAGTCATATTTGAGACCATATGCCAGTCTGAGTAAGATTCAGATTGTTCTAGTCATTTTGCTGATGTTAGTCATGAACCTCTTTGAGAAATGCTGGTGGCTAATTCTCCCAAGTCCGTTTTATTTTACTACTTTTCATTTTCAAGTTCATGCTGTTCACCTAAAAGTATCCCACATTTATTGATTTTTAGAGCTGAATATAAACATAATTAAAAGCTGTGGCATGTGATTTCACAGTCAAACTGCTCATCCTTAGAGGGGCACTTTGCAGCAGCTGCTCATTATGCCACCACCAGCTGACCTTTGCTCAGATGTCACCTCAGCAGCAAAGCCTTCCCAGGCCTCTGTCCTTTCAGGTTCTGGCCTCCCTTCAGGCTCTCCTTTGTTTTCCTTCAGAGCATGTATCCCTACCTGACATGACTGAAAAATGGAGTAGAGAATGTGAGAAGAAATGATCAAAAGAGGCCAGACTCAAGGTTTATTTTTCTTTTGCCCCTCCCTATTTTCATTTATAGTGATTTAAGTCCATAGAATCATTTTAGTATTCTCAGCCTCAAATCAGCTTAATTATATTTTATCAGTCTAATTTTTATTAATCCAAAATGAAACTATATTAAAAATTAGATTTGATATATAAACATGTATACATTTATATATGAGAGTTTTATTATATATATAATACATATATCGTATAAATACACAATAAATTATTTTCAGACATATTTCTGGCTGTAAGAAGAGGGGATTATTGCCTACTTATAGATGTCTGGGTTTTAAAAGTATGTTGAGACTAGCATTAATGTGGCCCTTTATCATAGAGTGATAAAGCAAAAATGACTTAGAACCTTGCCTCTATTTGATAATTTCTCCTTTATCTTATCAACTCCATTTTCTACAGTAATGGAACACATAAGGGAGTGGGAACGAGAATGATCACTGCATCCATGCCTCTTTTGATGGCCACAGCTCCATGGCATCAGGGAGTATTCCTGGTGCTTGGTTTCCCACACAAAACGGACCAAAGCATTTTGATAATTTTCTAAATTATTCCTAAGCATCAGCTATATAAACTTTCAAGAGGAAATATCAATCTTAATTTAGCAGTTCTCAAACTTGAGTTTTTAGACAAGTGAGTAGTGGGGAATCCTTGTTCACAGGTCACTGGTTAGGTGCTCTCTGGTGCGTAATACTGTTCAAAGAGCTATCCACCTGTTTTCTCAGAACCATTCAGGCTACTGGTATCAATTTCTAGGAACCATCCAGCTTCTTTCCTACTTAGCCTAAACTTCTTAGAAGGGAAAGCAGCCAATACCCAGTTTAAACTAAAATTGAGGTAGGGCACTCAAGATAAGTTATTTCTTCTTAGAGAACCACTGAATATACTTCACAGTAGCTTCACCCTATTTGGCTTCAGAAGTTTGCAAGTAAAAATCTATTGTCTGTATATATTGGTTTAAAAAAACTTTAAAAAAATAGAACCAGTTATAGTGATCTTGAATTTTGTCTTTCAAACATTTTGATGAAAGATACAGTGCCATTTTAGAGATTACAAAAGGACTTTGGCTCTGTCATTGATTTTGAAAACGATCTCATAGCACTTGTTTTTATACTTGTGTTAAAGATAATATTTTATTTATAGGTTAAATGAGATCTAGAGATTAGTAAATAAAGCTTATATCAAAGATGGTGCTTTTTAAACTAATTAGGCAAAAATTAAGGCAGTGTTTTGACGATAATCTACTTTGATAAATGAGTCGTATCCTGGAATTTCTCTGTTAAAAATTTTAAAAGATAAATTGGACTATTTCAGAAATAAATTTTAAAATTCAGATTAGTGACTACATTAATTAAAATGTCTGTTAGCCTATCCAAAACCAAAGAAGGGAGTACAGAATTTTAATATAAACTAATAAAATGTAAGTACCATAGAAAACTGCTAGATATTATAAATTTAATATAAAAGAAAGTATCATATTGATGTTATTCTGAACTAGAATGGAATTTCTATACCAATTGAAAGATACATTTTTATAATGTCATAAATCATTTGGAGATTATTTTTATTGTCATTGATTTCTTATGACATTGTTCAGGATCTCTAATTTTAAAATTTGTAATAAAATATTAAAGTGTTGAAAGAGTTTTCAAAAATGTTTTACATTTGAAAAAGCATTTTTATGTTCCAAATTTTTATATAATTTGTTCAAATATTTCTCCACTTTGCCGTTTCTAATACACAGGTGTACATTAACTTATTTCTAACTATATAGCAAACTTTTCCCAGTGAGTTAAAAATATGCATCCGTATATACTTGTGAAAGTTTTATCTTATTTATGAATAGTCCAAATAGTCCAGTGTAATCTTTGTTCCAGAAGCTGACACTTCTATGTGGTAATCATCATGGCTTTGTGATTGCATCAAGTATTTAAGCACTCTATAGGTGTAGGATTTTGCTCTAAGCATTGAACTGAGCAAGACAAAACCTTTGGTCTAAAAGAACTTAGATTCTAGTGGGGGAGATAGACTATACACAAATCTATAAAAACAAAATACAGAGCCAGTTAGCAATAAATGCTATGAAGAAACAAAACAAGGCAAGGTGGCAGAGTGAAAGACGCTGTAGCTGTAGATGGAGGAACTGAAGAAGGCAGTACTGCGAAGGTGATGTCTGAGCAGAGATCCAAAGAAGATGAGAAAAGAATTCCAGACAGAGGAAAAGTCACACAGACTAAAACAAGCGCATATCTGGAATGCTTGAACAGCAGCAGAGGTGCCAGTTTGTGGGATGGATTATCAGGGGGTGAATAATAGGAAATGAGCTCAGTGAGGTAACAGGACTGAGATCTTTTTTTGGCACTATGGGAAATTTTAAGTAGTGTGAAATAAGAAGCCACTGGAGTTTTGAGGACAGAGGGATATAATCTGACAAGAGATGATTATGTTTCCAATTAAATGGTAGTGGTAGACTGATGAGCATCACAGGACTTTAGACATGATTTTATATTTAAGCCAGAAGTATGTGTTGTTGGATTAGATATGGCATGTGCATACAAAAACAAGAATGAGTCCAGAGCTTTTGGCTTAACACTGGAAGAATGGTGTTGACATTCACTGAAATTGGAAAGACTACAAGAGTTACACGATTGGGAGCATATTGAGACATGTGACTGAGATGGCAATTAGCTGCCTAAGTGGAGATGCTGAGACATTTGGATAGCTGCACTTGGGGTCTGGAGAGGAGGTATAGACTAGAGGTATAAATTTGGGAATTGTCAGCATGTAGATGGTATTTAAAAAATGGAATGGATGAGATAACAAGAGAGGGAGTGTAGACAAGTGGAGGAAGAAGTTTTGAGCCCTGGGCATTTTAGCATCTAAAAGTGTGGAATGTGAAGAAAAACCAGCAGAACAGACTAAGAAAGAATGGGTGGTGAGGGAGAATAAAAACCAAGAGAAGGACTGGGCGTGGTAACTCAAGCCTGTATCCCAGCACTTTGGGAGACTGAGGTGAGAGGATTGCCTGAGTCCACAGGTTCAAGACCAGCCTGGGCAACTTGGTGAGACCTCATCTCTACCAAAAAAAAAAAAGAGAATATAGAATCTTCAAAGTCAAATGGAGAGAGGAAGTGTTTCAAGGAAGTGATAAGGACACTCAAATATATTGAATGGTGTTGACAAGTCAAATTAGATAGCATCTGAGAATTGACCTGGAGGTTAAGCCCTGTGGAAGTTGTTGGTGGCCTTGACAAGATGGTGGAATAGACAAGGCAAAAGTCTGCTTGAAGGAGAGAATTACAAAGAGAACAATTGAAGACGGTAGTCATGGGCACATCTTTTAGGGCAGTTTTCTGTAGAAGGGAGTAGAGTAATGGATCTAGAGGGAGATGTGGACTCAACAGTGGATTTCAGATGAGAGAAATTGCATGGTATACACTGTAGAAAATGATCCAGTAGAGAGGGTAAACCGGTAATACACAGGAAAGGGAGAAAAAGTAGCTAGAGCGATGTCCTTTGGAGAGCCCAAGTGGGTGAAATCATTTGAGATAGGTGCATGTTCGGTTCAGACTTCACCAATCTTGGATAATGTACAAGTCCATGTACATAAAAATGTGGCATCTAATGTGTTTTAACAAAATTTTGTGGGGAAGCTTTTTGCCCCCACATCATGTATATTTCCAGTAGACTCTCCCCTGAAGTTTACTATGTAGATGCCTGGAGTTTTTGTAAAGCCTTTTGGTAGAGGGAATGTGGTAAAAGCAATCACGGGCACAGAGGCCTCTAGGTACACAAATACACTGGATCCAGGAGTGTATATGTTGATGAAGAGGGAGAAAGACGGAAAATAGAGGAAGAATGGGCCCAGGAATGCATGCCCAGTAAAACATTGTAATCTATTTAAGACAACTTCTTTTTTTTTTTTTTTT